TTTGTCAGAACAAAGGTAAGGCCCTGCCCCCCACCTCCCAGCTGGATGTTCCACCCAAGAGCTGGTGGCATCTGTCATACCCAGCTGCCAGTGCCCTTTAGGACCTTTTTATATTCAACCTATGCCGTGCCCAGAGGCAGCTGCAGCCTGTCGTACCCAGCTGCCAGCATCCCCCAGAGCTGGCTGCAGCCTGACAGCCCCCTCCCTGTTTCCCCCCAGGCCTGCTGGAGACAACTGTGCAGAAGGTTGCCCGGGTGAAGGCCCCCAATAAGTCCCTGCCCTCGGCCGTCTACTGCATTGAGGACAAGATGTGAGTGGGGCATGCACAGGGATGGGGCTTGAACCTGCCACCCTTGGGGGAGGGGGTGGGGCCCCTGCAGTCAGAGGGCGGGGCACTGGGGGCTGAGGTCACACCTAATAGGGATGTGGGGTCAGAAGGTTTCCCCCTGTGATGGAGGGTGGGGGCGGAGGTGTTGCCAGGGTTGGTCACACTGTTGGACCCCTGGAATGCTGTGGGGAGGCAGGGGGCTGCAGGTCGGGAGTGAGGGACACGGGTGGGGCAGAGCACCCCTGGTGACCACCACCCCTCCTCACCCAGGGCCATCGACGACAAGTACAGCCGGCGCGAGGAATATCGCGGCTTCACACAGGACTTCAAGGAGAAGGACGGCTACCGGCCCGACGTCAAGATCGAGTACGTGGATGAGACGGGCCGCAAGCTCACGCCCAAGGAGGTAGGGGCAGGGCTGGGGGGGGCTCTGATATCATGGGTGATGGTGGGACTTGAGGTGCTGAGTTCCTTTCCCAAGGAGCTGGGCGGCAGGATGTCATAGGCAGGGAGCTGGGGGTGGGGCCTGTGGTGCTGAAACTCCGCCCCTTTGGAGATGGGGGTGGGACAGGAAGTCAAAGCCAGGTATGGCGGGTCGGTGCTTCACTAGGAAGTGGGGCCTGATGTTATGGCTGGGGGAGGGCCTGGGGTGCTGAGAGTGCCCCCATGGTGGAGGTGGAACCTGGAGTCAGGAAGTCTTTGCCAAGCAGCAAGATGGGGGCAGGGCTTGGGGAACCTGGGGCTTCCCCCTGAGGCTGTGGGGTGGGGCTGAACTTCTATGTGGGGTGGGACTCCAATGGTGGAAGTGGGCGGGGTTTGGTGACACTTCCTAGGGAGTAGAGGTTGGGCAAGATCTTCCGGGGAAGGAGGGGGTGCAGGGTAGAGGCAGGACTCTGAACCATGTTCTGCCCCAGGCCTTCCGGCAGCTCTCGCACCGTTTCCATGGCAAGGGCTCAGGGAAGATGAAGACAGAGCGGAGGATGAAGAAGCTGGACGAGGAGGCGGTGAGAGTCCCCCCCACCCTCCTTCGGGCTGGGTGCAGCTGACCCCAGGTCCTATCCCCAGTCTTGCCCTGCCCTCTTCATTCCGCACCCCTCCCCCCAAGCTGGCTGCCTTTTGTTATGCTTGCTTGTGGACAGTTCACCCCAGGGCCAGCTGCATTGCAGCCCTATGTCTCCCCTGCCCATGTCTTTGTTCTACTCAGTTGCTGACACCCCTCCTACCCCAGAGGTGGCTGCCCCCTATAGGCTAAGCCTTCCCTACAGCCCACCCCAGAGCTGGCCACATTTGGCATGCTCGGCAGATGACAAACCCCTGCTTCAGAGACAGCTGCATTTCAGCCTCTTTATTCCCAGCCCAGGGCCAGTTGCGTGTTATGCTCAGCTGCTGCGTCTTGGGTGTCTGTACTAACCCCCCCATCCCCCCCCAGCTGCTGAAGAAGATGAGCTCCAGTGACACCCCCCTGGGCACCGTGGCCCTGCTGCAGGAGAAGCAGAAGGCCCAGAAGACACCCTATATTGTCTTGAGTGGGAGTGGGAAGAGCATGAATGCGTGAGTGCCCCCCAGAGTTGGCTGCAGCCTGTTCTTCCCCACCCCTAGTCAGCTGCAGTCTGTTATACTGAGCTGCTGATGCACTCCAGAGGCAGCTGCTTCTCAGTTACACCCACCCTTCGATGCCACCCCAGAAACAGCTGCTATAACACCCAGCTGCTCATACATTGCCCCAGAGCTGGCTGCAGCTGTTACACTCAACCAGCAATCTTCAACCCCAGAGCTGGCTGCTTGTTATACTTCAGTTGGCTGATCATTTCCCTAGGTTTTGCTCCGACCCCTCACCCCCTTTTCTCTCTCTCTTTCCTCCCAGAAACACCATCACCAAGTGAGCTGGATACCACTGGGTCCCTCGTGCCGCAGGTCTGTGCCGTGGTGGGGACCTGTGTGCCTGGCACTGTACATAGTTGAGATGTTGATATTTCCCCCTCGATCCTCTTTTGTATTATTTGAAGCCCTGTGTTTGCCTCAATAAACCCGTAAATTCCAGTTCTTTGTTTATTGGCCCTGGTGTGTTTTAAAAGGGGCAGAAAATAGCTTGGGGAGTAGCCCTGGGGGGGGAAGATGGCAGAGAAGCTGGGATGGGGGATAGCTGAGGGTGTCCTACCCCAGAGCCAGCTGTGGCAGGGTCCCAGGCATTTGGGGAGGGGACACAGAGCTTACGGCCACTGAGGGGGGCAGTTGCCAGTGTCTTTATTAAAGTGGCTGGTATGCTCAGCTGCTGATGAGCCCCAACCTCAAAGCCAGCTGCATCGACTAAGGCCCCAGTGGTGGTCATGTTGCTGTTCTACTTGGCTGCTAGCACCCCACCCCCAAGGTTGCTGTGTGGGTGTTACACCCAGCCCAGAGGCAGCAGCAGCTTATACTTGGCTGCTAATGCCCACCCTAGAGGTGGCCACATCTGTGTGATATGCCCCACCCCAGGAGCAGCCACATCTCTTGTGCTGAGGCAGGGAGGCTCCCACCTGCCAGCAGAGTCCATAGCAACCCCAGTGCTGGGGAGGAGCTCACTGCTCCTCTTCCTCGCTCTCATCTTCGTCCTCTTCCTCGCTGTCAGTGCCTATGTCACGGAGCCGATTGGGGTTCACAAACAAGTCGCTGTCGCTGTCTTCATCCTCCTGGGTGGCCTGCGGCTCGCCCACCCTGCCAGAGAGAAAGTGAGAACCCAGGCACCTGGAGCATCCACCCCCCCCAATGCCACCCCACAGCCTAATATTGCTTTGGGAGCTGGATATAGCACAGTCCCAGCTACCTCTGGGGTGAGGTGCCCAACAGCTGAGTATGTCATGGGCTGGAATGTGGGTGGCTCTGGGGTAGGATGTGTAGAACAGATAAAGCCAGGTCTGGGGGGTGCCTAGGCCAGGTACAATAGGTCCCACTCACCTGCTCTGGGGGCTGGACCGGCTGTTGGGGGCATCTGAGAAGGCTTCAGGCCTGCAAAGAGGTAGTAAGATGGGGTGGGGGGCAAT